TAAGGATAATCGATCGCTAGAGAAACGATCTGTCTTATTAATTTTTTTTACGAACGCTCTATGTTTTGTTTACCTTGTTGCCTTTCATTTCCATTATATCTGCACCAAGTCTCAACACACTAATATATATTTCGATAGGCTCACAAATAATAATATTGGCTATTTTTCAAGATTATAATCTGATCAGTTCACGTTTTTCATGTTGATCATATGACTACTGTGGCATATCAATGCGCCATTATCAATCATTATTGACATCTTGAATATAAATTTTTATCTGTGCAAAAATAAAAAACTGAATACAGATGTATTCCAGTCGTTCAAATTTCGAGGAAAGCTTGAAAGTGTACTAGAAAATTTTCTAGAACATCCGTTTAGCGTCTTTTTTTGTTACTAAGCAATTCTAGAAAAGTAGTCTGATGTCCGTTGTCCTCGATTGCTAGGGGAACGTATCTTATAATTTTTGGACTTCCTCTCTGTCGCTACGAGGGAGAAGCCGTAGAACCTTGACTTAAAACTTACACTCACTATATTTGTCGAAGAAAAATATAATGTGAGTTTCACAAGAAGAACCCTACTTTTGATACATACGTGTAAATCAATGCTTGTTGTATTAAAGAATTAAAATTATTCATGTAGATTTCATAAGTATTCAAAAAAATATACAGACTCTAAAAAAGTTGTTTAATTTCAGAAACGAAACTGGATCTATGAGACCGAGATCAGACCTAATACAACATTTTAACTGGAGAAAGGAAGCATTGCAGATCCTTAGTCACTGGTACGAAATGCCCAAGCGAAACATTATTATTGATTATGATGACATTATTTTTTTTTTCTTAATCTTTGGATAAATAGATTTTTTTTTGTCTCCTATCTTTAATACAAACTTTGAACATGTCTTATTGTTTACTCGATTATGTGAGTCTACCTATCGAGTAATTGTTTGCTTAGATAATCTTGTATACTTTGTAAGAAATAACTGTTATTTTGAATAAAGATATTTGATAATTATTTATTTACAAACTACTTATTATTTATATAGTATAAATTCCCTTCTAAAATAAAATGGCGAAATATTATAAACCAGAAAAGAATAAATTCATTTTCTTGCTTGAATAATAGATATTACTTTTTTAATTTATACGAATATCTACATTCAAAAACAACAAATCTAATGTAACAATGATATTCATTTGTCAATATCACTATCAATCATTTTAAAATCTTTTTCCATATCTGAATATTCTTGATCATCATTATTATAATTTTGTTCAATATCATCGTTATCGTTACGGTAGTTTGGTATTTCTTCATTCTCTTGATCGTCTATTTCATTCTTCGATAATTCATAAGTAGCTTGCTCAACAGCTTCATCATCTCCAACTGTTTCACCGATGCGATCTTCAAATTGTTGTTCATCTTCTTCAGTACGAATTAAGTCAATATGAGTTGAATGAGAACCACTACCACCAATTGCAGCAAATCCAGGGACAATTGACTAAAACAAAAAAAACAAAATAAGCACACATTTAACAATTAACTTGTTCATAGAGATGTAAACCGATGCATTAATCGACTTATATCTCTATGTGTTAATATTTCAAATTTTATTTACCGGTGAAGAATAACCCCAGCCTTCACCAGTTCCCCATTCAGCATTGCCATAATCATACCCAGCCTTTTGTAATGGATTTTGTTTTGAATTCATTGTTTGACCTAGTATATGAGCTCCAATAAGACCAGCTGATAATGGAAGTTTAACTGTCTGTGTTTTGAGTATTAATGGTTCTGAACTATCATTGTCAGCTAAGCATTCAACAAGATTCATGAACATTTTTTTTGTGTTAGGAAAATAAAAAAGAACCTACATGGATTTATTTCTGTAATTGTTTCAATATTTTCATCAACGGATGACGAACGAGCATTAGTGAATTTTTCCATATGTAATGCACGTGACGGTAACTGAACAATATAAGTCAATATGACAGTAAGACAGTGAAAAAAAGTTTAACAACAACGTATTTTTTCTATAATGTTAAGCAATTAGCTCAAATCCAGATAGTGATTTTACTAGACAATAAAGTTTTGTGAAAAAGTTGAACACGGTTGTTTTCAAATTCCAGACACTACTCTTTTATCATGCATATTAAAGAGAATAAAAAGAGGGATAACCGCATTTTTTTCCGACCTTTCTTCAAAAATATCACAGGAACTGAAAACAAGGCATTTTTTAAGTTAAATTTCATTTATTTATCGTTTTTATGGAGCTTTTAACTTTTTAAGTAAAGGTCAGAGAAAATGCGGTGACTCCTCATTGTGTTCTCTTTAAAATGGTATTGTTAAAAAATTGCTTTTGAGACCTGAAAATTACCGTGTTTGACTTCTGTACAAAACTCTATTGTGTAGTAAAATCACTGTCTGAAGTTGAGCTAATTGCTTGAGGAGACTTTTCACTTTCCGGAGTTTCTGAAGAATACCTCATCAGTATTGTCATAGATTCCAAATTCTTCTTTCTAGGAAATATCTGGATCACAAAGCTTCATAATCACCCTACTTTCTCAGTCTCAATAAGTCTGATAGTGTTGAAATTTTTTTTACAGATACTACACATTGTTTGTAATGTCTATTTCTTTTGATTTCATTTTATCTTCTTCCATTCGAATAAAAAGAACAAAATACTGAGTGTACCTCCAAAAATACATGTATTTTTTTTAAAATAAAATCTGCAAAAAATCAACGATGCAATATTTTTCAACACAAAAAAAAGTAGACACTGCAAACAATGTCTAATACCTGTATAAGAAAGTTTCAACTCGATCGAACGTACTATGGCGTAGAGACGAGAGCGATTTTGTACTTTTTTTTTATGTAAAAATTGATTTCGAGGAAAATGAAAAAAAAACAAATTTTCCTGTATATATTAAGACTTTTTTTCTCAAACTAAAGTGATCGAAAATTGGCCGTGTTAGAGGTCCATAGCATTTGACAAAAGACACATCGAAGCTACACCAAACATCGAAAAAATTTTGATTTTAATATCCGAAAAAGGAACGGTTACATTAATATAATAGAAAAAAACAGAAATACGTTGTTGTTAAACTTTTTTTTCATCATCTTGGTTTCAACAAGACGTCAAGAAATCTACTTACTGTTTGAATAATAGTTTTCATCCATGAACTATAAAATAGGATATTATTATCATTAAACTTTCTCGAATATTAATTATCTAAAGAGAATTGAAACAAAAAAAAACATCTTACTTTAAATCATCTAGATCTTCACATAAAAGCCATACAATATCACGATCACGATCTTTTACAGACATTGGAAAAGCAATAAGTGCCACTTCATCATATACATTATCAAGATGAGGAAAATCAGGTAAACATCTAGACTTTTTATTTTAATAATATTGAATAGAAATGAAATATTTTCTTAATTACCTTGTATATGGACCAACACAAATATATCGTTCAACATCCTTATAGAGAAAAAAACAAATGATTAATTTAAAATAATATTTTATTGAAAGGAAAAAAATTACTTTAAGTAAAATCATTCCATCAGGTTTCTTATGTTTAATATCAGAATACCATGTAAGTAAACTTGAATCATAAAGTACAAATTTATATTCTTTCCATTTTTTACTTAATAAGCCTCCTATACATATATAATTGAGCACAGAAGATTAAATTTAATATAAAATTTCAAAGAAATTATTTTCTTACGATGATAATATTTAAGCATGCCTCGTTTTATTTCACTCATGATTATTTGCAATATAATTTAAGACTTATGAAAAGGTCATTTTCTTTATTGTCTTTCTGGTCAAACCAATAAGAAAATGCATCTAGACAGTTTTATTTGACAGTGGACAATCGATTTTCGAGGGGGCGCTATTTATCAGTATGATAGAATGATATAGCCTATCTATTTTCATATCATATCAATGTCTTCAATCAATTATTCCAGTCAGTATGATTTTTTTCTTTATAATAATCATTGTATAATTGGATATATCGGATTTTATCTAAATCTTTTTCTTTATGTATGACAAAAAAACAAACCATTGAAAAGTCTTACAATCCTATTGAACTAATTAATTAAGCCAATGTTATTTTTTTTACTTATGTAAAATCTCTTTATATAACACGCAAACGAATTAATTTATTTAGTAGAAATTATTTGATTCGAAACATCCAGACTTCATCAAAAGAAATTTACGATGAATAAAAATAAAGATGCAAACACTATTTTTTTATTACAATTGTTTATTAAATGAATTGTTTTTTTTTAATTGTATTAATTGATGAGTTTCACGAGAGAGTGCTTTGAACTAACCAATTGCTTTTGAGTTCGAACTCTATGCATAAGGTTGACTCCAATAAGATATGAAAAATTCCAAAACAAATAAATTCTTTTAGGTCTTCTGTTTAGAGTTATAGGCATTCTACTAGAATTTTAATCGCTAGTATGGCATACACCTATAAATTGAATGACGGTATTTCTACCTGAAATTTTTTTCACAGACAGTTTTTTTCAGCTTTCTATACGTAAATAAAATACCTTCGTCACTACTTTTATATAGACCTAAGTATTACAAAAATTTTTCCTATTGACAAGTAAAAAATATCATTAAAAATCCTAGATGCCATTATTTGGATGGTTTGTTTTTTTATTTTATTGATTTTGTACTTTTTTCTCTTGGTATTCGTTCTACGACAACACTAGATTGTACAATTCTTTCATGTTGATCATTCTTTTCGTTTATTATTGTTTCTTTCGAAATTGATCCAAATGCAACAATAGATCTTGTTGATTTCGGTTGTTTCTTTTTTATACGGACATGTTCTGTCCGAACAGACGATGGTGATGATGTTTCATGTCTAGAAATATTATTTGACGGTAGCAATTCAATTGTTTCAACTTGTGAAGGACGATGTACAAATGCTGATGTTCGATGATTTGATCAAATGCTTTTAACATAAACCTTATCTTTATTTTTTTTTTTTTGATGAACCACTTGAAGATCGAGTTTTCACATTTTCATCCAATTGAATAGTATTTTCAACAATCGATGGACGACAAATAGGAGCGGAAGTTGAATGTACTTTTGTTATTGGTGAAGGTACATGAGTAACTCGAACAGCATTCGTCAAATCAATAACGGAATTTTCTTCGTGTTGTGCTACTGATTCATTATTCAATGTATTTAGTTTTTTCTTTGTTGATGATTTTATTTGAGATACTCGTACAGTTCCACTATTGATCGATGGTTGAACGGATGAATCGGCATTTTCATTAGATCTTCGAATCGGAGGTTTAATATCTGAATTCAATGCACTGTATATTTTGTTTACTTTTTTAACTTTTATTACAGATACATTATCAAGATCGAATGATGTTGATCTACTATAATTATCATCCATTGATAGAAAACTGTTCGAATGAAAATCAATCATAGATAAATCATTTTCATCTTCCGTTGAACACGATGTAGTAGATGTAAGCGACTTTGATAATGATACATCATTAGTTGTAGAATTGTTTGAACTTTCATTTAAAATATCATAAGCATGATCATTTTTGACCTTAGTTGGAAATTTCATGTTGGGTGACATTGATGTGCATGACCATTGACATTCTCGATCAGTACATCGATCAATATGAAATAATTTAAATGGACCATTTTTTTTGATAGATTCTCCAACTTGTTGGTATACTAAAAAAAAAAGAAATCATGCTAAGAAAAAAAGATGAAATGTTATTATTTAGAGCACACCAGTAATAATACCGATATAGACAACTGCACAATGTACAGATACTAAAAACAACTAAACCGATAATACTTCCAATTAATGGCCAATTCATAGGATCAGCTATTCGAAAAACAAAAGCTGTTAGCACAATCCCTTCTGAATTAAAATGTGAATCATGATGCAGCTAGTCTTTAATATGCAATTGAATCTTATTGAATAATACTATTTTGAACCATTCCAACAAACGACAATGTCGAAATATCAACAATACTAACAGAAGAACCACAGTTGTTAATCGCAATTAAAAATAATGTAACAGCGAACTACTCGCCGACATTAGTGCCAGAAATAATCATTGTGAAATTTGGAAAGATTAATGTACCATTTGATAAAGATCCTGGTAGACAAACATTTCCACATTCAGTGGTACCACTAGGCCATTGACAACGCAGCGTATCTCCATCAGCATCTCCAATTGGTATATTAATAACTTTTTGTTGATTTTGAGAAATATCTATGGGTGACATGACAGTTGCTACAGGCGCATTATTATAAAGACCATTATCAGAACCCGAATCTTTTAGCAATGAATAGATAATATTTATATATTTATTGCTGAGTTCTGTAGTCTCCTCGATTGATATAAATAGATGATTAACTTAGTTGTATAAACTAGTATTGATTAACCCGTTAATTGAAAGTGTGGATGTGTCATTCTCTTCTTCTGATACACACACACATACCCAACTTCTTCATAGAATAATTAATTCTAAAATGTTCATTCATTCGATCTGTTATATTTAGTCTAGTGGTATAGATGGATTACCAAACTCCTTTATGTCTAATTTTCGTTTTTGGGAGAGGGTACAATCGATTCGGAAAATATTTTGTTTGATGGTGTCATCATATACGAATCATTTCTTTCTTTCTACTACCTGTTATGATGTCATCATGCATGTCTGTCAAATACTATTCCATAGACAACTTGTTTACTAAAAATGGGTTTTTTAAGTTTAAATTATCTTTCAGGACTTTCTGATTCTATCATATTAGTTTTCCTCTATCCATTCTTCTCGAGACTAATCTATTTGAAACGTTTAAATTCCATGTGTTTAAGTTTTCTTTCAGCACCCTTTTATTGAAAAGAAACGAGAATCGATATTTTGCATCATGACTTTTGCATCGTATGTTAGTTGTTATAAGGCTTCCTTTTTCAAAGAAACTTTTATTTTTTTTTTGGTTTGTGTCTCTTTTTATTTCTTCTAATCATTTGACAAAAAAAAAATAATTAAAATTTCGAAGAAAACATTTCTTTAGAAAATTTAAAAATCGAATAATTTATATTTATTTAAACTATTAAACTAATGTATTGTAATTATAATTAATCAATAATATATTACATGTATAATTTTTATTAAATTAAAAGTAATATTTATTGCTTTATTTTTTGTATTATTTTTTTGACTTGACGTTCTCCACTTTCCAAAGCACTATCCACACAACCAATTGTTCCATCATAATTTGCATGTTCACCGGCCCAATATATTCGATCATTACACTCTCGAGCAAGATCAATTAAAGTTTGATTATCTGCACCAATAGCAAAATTAGAATAAGCACCTTTTGAAAATTCATCTAGATTCCATTTAGTAATAAGAAATCGAGTTGGTTCAGGCACATTTCTGTCTGAAAATATAGTTCTTAACAATATCATAACTTTATCAATTATGTCTTTATCATTTTTTTCTTCGAATTCTAATGCTGTTCGAGCAGCAAGTTTAATTTGTAGCATACATTCATTAGGTCGACATAGAATAAAACGAAATTGTGGTGATGTACAAAGTATTGAGTACCATGTTGGATCCCAAAAAACAAATGGAAATTGTAAAAAAATTTTATTTGAAAGACCTACACCCATTATATCGATTGCATTTTGTTTCCATTCAGGTAAACTTGGTATAAATTCCACTGAATGAGCTTTTAAACATCCAAGTGGAATTGTAATAAGAACATATTTACATAGAAATAATCGTTCATCTTTTGTATATATTCGAACATTTGAATCTGATAATGAAGTATCTATACGAGTAACAATAGAATTAAGTTCAACGGGTAATTGATGTTGTTGAACAACGTTTTCAATAAATATACCAAAACCATTTGGCATAGATAAATTATATTCATCAATACCATTGTCTGATAATAAATAAGATTTAGCTGATAATTGATCAAGATTTGATGCTTCATATTGTTCAATAATACCAAGAAATAAATCAATTAATCGTTTCATTTGAGGATCATTATTGTACTGAATATATTCACTTTTAATAACATCAAACATTGATTTATCTATTGAAAGTGATGATTCTTTAATTATATTACATAATCGATTAGAAATTTCTTCAGCTTTCTGAATTTTATTCGAAGATATTCTTGTACCATCAATATCAAAAAATGGTGTTGCTAATGAACGAAAAATAAAATGATTATTAATATGAATATCTTTTGATAATTCATTATATTTATATAAAGGATGTTCAGGTCGAAAATGATGTACCCATTGTGCACCTAAATCAACAGGTGTATTTATATCAAATGTAGTTGTATCAGTAACAATACGGCCACCAACACGATTACGAGCTTCGAGTAGAATAAATTTTAATTGTGGAATTGCCTGTAATTCGATTGCTGCTGCTATTCCAGCAGCGCCACATCCAACAATAATCACATCGAAAATTTCACTTGTACATGTCATTATACACAAGATACGAACGATAAACAAATAATAAAACTAGATATATTAATTACAAACTAAAAAATAGAAACTGATATACTTTAATAAAAGAACCTAGAAATAATATTAGTAAATAATAAGATGTTTCTTTTGATTTCATACATGTTGTTTTGTTTTTTGTTAGGCTTTACCATTGCTACAAAACTAATTCGGTATTAATTTTCAATTAAACTAACTTGAGTAATACTAAATTACGGCTACTATGCGACCAACCGGCCGACACGTAGAATATTGACGCACGACAACCAATAAACTCTCACGAAAATAAATAATTTCGTACAACAACGACGTCTGTCGTGATGATTTAACCAACAAACTTCTTTTCGACATGTTATGAACAATGCACTAGAACCTGAATGATATGCAACTTCATTTAAAAGTTAATACATTAATAAAAAAATAACAGAATGATATTTATAGACAAAAGTGAACTAAATATATATTCAATCATGAAATTTTTATTTGAACACAAAATTTATCAATGTAGAAGTTGCTTTATGTTTGTAACATTTCTATAGAAAATGAGATGAATCTAAGTTTAACTTGCATTTTTTGTCGCTGTAAAAATTTAGTTTCAACAAAAACGTATGTTTAACATAAAAATTTCGTTAGAGTTTGGTAGAAAGTATTATTTTTATTGCTTCTCTCACTGTCGGTACCATACTTGGAACCACTAAGATTTTTTTCGATCGGGCCGATCGATTGAAATATTGGGCTTAATCGAGCAAAGAAAGTGGTTTGTTTAATATATGAATTAATCAACTACTTATTTCGAAAAAGTTTATTACTACAGTTGCACGAATGCACACAATGTGAAACTTATATAATTCTTGAAGTTTCAAATAGTAACAACTTTTATTCCAGTCTGTCACGTTCCATAGACGCTAATACAAAACTATGAATGAAAAATTCTTTCAAACTGTCTCATTTATTAACTCACAACAATTGATGCTGAGCAACATCTATAGGTTTTTTTGCCTGATTTTCTTCAGTAAAGATATGATTTCTGCACAAGAATTGATACTTTTTATCTATTTACAATATATGATAAATTAGATATTATTTTTCATTGTTCATTTTTTATAAAGCACATATCGAAACGTGCAAATCTTTTATCGTATTTTTTGTTTTGAAAATTTTTAATAATTAAATAAACTATTAGTTGAGATTCGAAAATCTTTGAATTACAAATATCAATCAAACTCGTACAGTTTGTTAGAGTAAAATGTGATATTGTTGATGTTTTATTTTGCTCATTTTTTCTCAATTTTCGATTTCGATGTCGAAGTTATTGGTCTCGAATGAATCGAATAGAAGGATCTGAAACGTTTATTTAATAGCTCATTTTATTTTATTTTTTTAATGAATTAAATCATTTAGCTTAATGTGAAATAGATCATACTACATGATTATATCGATGGATTTTCTTTTATATTCGCCTTTGTCTAGAATAAAGCATATGTCTTCAAATAAAACCATCAAAAAACAAAGAAATTCTATCAAACCAAAACTATTAACTATTATAATTTATAATGATAATGTAAACTTTTCTCTAATTAACTTATTTAAATTGCAAACTTTTCGTAGAAAGAAAAATATTTTCAATTCTTTAAAATTTCCTATTGATAACTTATCAAGTGTTAAGAGTTTTAAAAGAAATTTTATGTAAATTTTTTAATGAAATAAAATTTTCTATATCAATTCAAAGATGAAAAAAGATTATTGTATTTGATAAAATGACAGAATGCATCCATGAAAAATATTAATACTTCAATTTTAAGCAGAAGAACTTGAAACCAATCCTAGACATCGAGTTAAATAAATTTAATAAAGAGAATGTAAACTCTGAATCTAATTTTATAAAGATATAACAAATATGATGAAAGAAATATTCATGTAAAATAATCAATATTTTGTTACTTTCTACTTGTGATAAAGAAATGTCTATCATCTTTATCAAAAATATAATTTTAGAATATAAGCTTCACCAAATGTATAAAGGAAACGAATTAAAGATAATAATATTTAATAGTTCAAAATTTGTATTCATTATATAGATTATGATTTGTAATCAAAATTGATATTTATTATAACTAATCTGTATACATTAATATAAAAATACGTAATTGTGACTAAGAAAATCGCTGACTAATTTATAAGATTTTTATATTCAATTGCTTTTTATTGAACAAAGGTAAACAATAAAAT